CTGGGATGCAGCACTTAGCTGCTGCACATCCTTGTAGTGCTCCCCAGTGTGCACACATACAGTGTCTGCCACAGCTAGACCCGCTGCCCTATGTGAATGTTGACAGTGGTATCTGCCGCTCTGCCTGGATCACACCCTAGGTGTGTGTCTGCATAGCTAGACTGAATCTTTGCCCAGATCTCACACCAGGCTGTGGTGTGGAGTGAGCAGGGCCGAGGTGTTTGCCCCTTCAGGTTGGGAAGTGCAGCAAGGCAGCAGCCGCCAGTGCAAGGCTCTCTCCGCCCTGATTGTTAGCAAGCCAGAACGTGCACACTCCTCACAAGTGGAGACTAGGCTGCTCCAGCCCTTCTGTCTGCCTCAGTGGATTCCCAGCAGGCAAGGGGGGCTTGTCTTCTTTTGCAGGACCCCAGGCCTGGGATGCCCAGATTGTGAGTCGACTTGCTCCCTCCGCAGGGCAAGGGTCCACCGGTGTGGACTTTCTCTTCCTTTCAGATCCTTCCCAGGGGTGCAGATCCCTACCTGATGCCCTCCCCCCCCCCTGTGCCCCCTGCCTTTTTTTTTTTGTCCTACCCAGTTACATGGAGATTTTTCTTGCAGCTTTGGTTGTTTAGGAGTTCTGCCAGTTTCTAGTTCGTTTTCTGTGAGAATTTTTCCTCATGTAGACGTATTTTTGATGTGTTCATGGGGGGAGATGAGCTCCACATCCTCCTAATCTGCCATCTTGATCCCCTTCTTCCTACATTGGTTGATGTTTGAATGTTAAACCAACCTTCCACCCTTCAGATAAGTCCCTCTTGAGTTGTCATGTGCTGTATTTTTAACATGTTCTTGGATCCTATTTGCTAAAATTTTGTTAATATTTTTTACCTCTGTGTTCGTGAGGGATATTGTTCTGTGGTTTACTTTTCTTGTGATATTTTTGTCTAGTTTAGGTATCAAGGTACTACTGGCCTTATAGAATGAGTTGAAATGTGTTTTCTCCTCTTCAGTTTTTTTGGAAAAGTTTATGTAGAATTTGTATTGTTTTTCTTAAATGTTTGGTGGAATTCACCAATTGAGGCCAGCTGGGCCTGCATGTTTCTTTTGTGGAAGGGTTTTAACTGCAAATTCTATTTTTCTAATATATATAGAACTGTTCAGGTTTTCTATTCCTTCTTGAGTAAGCTTTGGTGTAGTTTTTACCTTTCAAAGATTTTGTCCATTTCACCTAAGTTCTAGAACTTTTGGCATAAAGTTGTAATACCCTCTTACTATCATTTTAATATCTTTAACATCTGTAGTGAAAGCTCCTCTCTTTATTCTTGATTTGGGTAGTTTTGTTTGTTTGGCTTTTTGTTTTTGTTTTTACTATATGAAAGTAGTTGCCACATCCAATAAAAATCACAATGATTGTACAGTGCCTATTGCAATATATATATTCTTTGAATTTTTTACTGACATTGATACCAATTTTTAAAGTGTAAAGATGAATAAATTTCTCTGATATTGGTAATTTTTGTCTTTTTTTCCTGGTCAGTCTAGCTAGGGGTTTATTAATTTTATTGATATTCTCAAAGAACCAGCTTTGGATGTCGTTGATTTTTTTCATTGTTTTTATGTTTTCTACTTCATTGATTTCTTCTCTGGTCTTTATTATTTCCTTTATTTTGGATTTCATGTGGTCTTCTTTCTTCTAGTTTCTTAATGTGGAAGCTCCTTCTTGTAACATATATATATTTTTTAAAATTAATTAATTATTTTTGGCTGCATTGGGTCTTCATTGCTGTGCACAGGCTTTTCTCTAGTTGCAGTGAGTGGGGGCTACTCTTCATTGCAGTGTGTGGGCTTCTCACTGCGGTGGCTTCTCTGGTGGAGCAAGGGCTCTAGGTGCACACGCTTCAGTAGTTATGGTGTGTGGGCTCAGTAGTTGTGGCTTGCAGGCTCTAGAGCACAGGCTCAGTAGTTGTGCATGGGCTTAGTTGCTCCACAGCATGTGGGATCTTCCTGGATCAGGGCTCAAACCCGTGTCCCCTGCATTGGCAAGCGGACTCTCAACGACTGCGCCACCAGGGAAGCCCATAGGTTGAGTATTTTTTATGATTACATTTTATATCTTTTTTTTGGCCTAGTAGCTATAACTCATTATTTTGTAATCTTAGTGGTTATTTTTGAGTTTATATTGTAGATTTTAAAGTGATTTTAGTCAATCCTAAAATTATATTACATCTTACTTCCATTTTCCTTTGCTCAGCCTTCATGCTGTTATTACCATACACTTTAAAATTCCAAATATGGTATGAAATCCACACTAGATTGTTAGTATTTTTGTTTTAACAGTCAATTATTTTTTTTATTATTTTGTTTTGTGGTACGGAGGCCTCTCACTGTTGTGGCCTCTCCCGTTGCGGAGCACAGGCTCTGGAAGCGCAGGCTCAGCGGCCATGGCTCACGGGCCCAGCCGCTCTGCGGCATGTGGTATCTTCCCGGACCGGGGCACGAACCCGCGTCCCCTGCATCGGCAGGCGGACTCTCAACCACTGCACCACCAGGGAAGCCCAACAGTCAATTATTTTTAAAGAGATTTAAATAATTAAAAAATTGGCTCTCTATACTCAAGTGGTTACTATTTCCAGTATCCTTCATTTCTTTGTGTAGACACAAATTTTCATTTTATGTCATTTTTTTTTCTGCTTGGAGAATGTTCTTTAAGATTTCTTGCACTGCATATCTGATGAATTTTTTTCAGCACTTAGGCCTGAAAAAATCTTTATTTTCCCTTCAGTTTTGAAAAATATTTTTGCTGAATATAGAATTCTGTGTTGACAGTTTTTTGTTTTCAGTATTTTAAAGATGCTACTCCTCTGTTTTCTTGCTTTTTTGTTGTCAGTGAGAAATCTTCTATCACCCTTATTTTATTCCTCTGTATTAGGCATATCTTTTTTCTCTGGGTGCTTTTAATGTTTTTTTCTGTCACTGGTTTTGACCAATTTGGTTAAGCTATCCCTTGGTGGATTTTCCTTCATGTTTCTTGTGCTTGGAATTTTTTGTTTCTTGGACTTGTAGGTTTATAATTTTCATAAAACTTTTGACCTTTATTTCTTCAGATTTTTTTCCCCCCGCCCCACTCTCCCATTCTTTAGGGACTCCACTTACACGTTCATTAGGTTGTTTGAAGCTGTCCCACAGTTCTTTCATGCTCTGTTCTTTATTTCTTGTTTTCTTTCCATATTTCATTTTGGATACTTTCTCCTGCTGTGTCTTTAAGTTCACTAATCTTTTCTTCCTCAGTGTCTCATCTGCTGTTAATCCCATCCAGTAAATTTTCATCTCAGCCATTGTGGCTTTCATATTTAAAAGTTTAAATTGTATCTCTGTATATCTTTCATGTCTCTATATAACGTGTTTAATGAACATAACATGTTTAATAAACATGAGATGTTTAATGTAACATCCTCACTCCAGCTTCATAGAACTGTATTCTACAGAACATAGTTATGATAACTTTTAATGCCTTTGTCTGCTATTTCTAGTATCTGTGTCAGTTCTGGGTCAGCTTTGATAGATTGAATTTCCTCCTCATTATGGATATATTTTCCCCTCTTCTTTGAATGGATGGTAATTTTTTGTTCAGTGCCAGACATTGTGAATGTTACTTTGGGTGCAGAATATTTTTGTATTCCTATAAATATACTTGAGTTTTGTTCTGAGATGCAGTTACTTGGACACAGTTCCTTTGAGATCTTTTTTTTTTTAAATTTGTTGGGTTGGACCAAAGCAGTGGTTAGTCTAGGGATAATTGTACTCCACTCATGAAGCAAGGTGCTTCTCAGTACTCTACCCAGTGCCCCACAAATTATGACATTTTTCACTGTTGTCTGGTGGGAATGGGTACTTACTATTCATGGCCCTGGGTGAGCTCTGGCTGCTGTCCCCTCTCATGCTGCTTGTTGAGTCTTTCCCTGGCTTTGGGTAACTTCCTCACGTGCGCACTCTGACTAGTACTCTACTGAATTCCTGAGGGGAACGCTCTGCAGGTCTCTGACATTTTCTCCATTCTTGTGCTCTTCTCTGATGCCTCTGATTGCCTTGCTCAGACTTTTGGCTCCATATCCTCAGCTCAGGGAGTCCACCAGGCTCCAGCTGAGTTCCCTTTCCCTGTACCGTAGCAGAGCGGAAGTAACAGGTAAGAGTGACATCTGGTTTGAGGCCAGGTTTTGGAGACTTAGGGGTATGCATGGACGCATCAGGATTCAATCCTATAAGATACTGCAGAAGCCATATTTCAGAAAAATGCAGATGACCTGAGCCAGTCCTTGCTGAATATGTTAAGGAATAAGTGGCGAGTAAGGGATGTTTAATTTTCTGCTTCTGGCCTTGCTGCCAGCCCACAAATCACTGAGGACATCACCCTTCATGGCTCAGTGTCCTCATCAGTAAATGATGGTTCTTGATACTGATCGATTACTGACCCTATTGGTAGCCAGAGATGGCTTCTCCAGAAGGGCCCTGGGGTAACCAAGTGACAGCATGGCACAAGACTCAAGCCCCCTTGCTGCCAGCTGATTTTTCTACAGAGGAGAAGGAACAGGGAGCCAGACCTTTACTCTCAGATGACCGCCAAAATCTGAATGAAAAAGAGTTTCAACTGATATGTAGTCAGTCTAGGGCTTTGCTTTCCAAAGTGGTGTCCCCAGAGTAGCAGCACTAGTATCGCTCGGGAGCTTCTTAGAAATGCAGACCACCAGGCAATTTGCCTGGATCTACCATCAGATTCTGCACTATGAGAAGAACCTCAGTTGTTTCATGTGCTCATCAGAGTTTGAAGAACACTGATAGCTGTAGTCAACAATTATATATTATACACTTAAAAACTTGTTAAGAGGGTAGATCTCACGTTAAGTATCCTTTCCACAATAAAATAAAATTTTGAAGAGCATTGTTCTAAATGTAAATGGTTGTACATGCCCTCTAGTGGCTGCCTAGCACCTTGCAGGGAGTTTTAAAATGTTTTCTCATTTTAGGACCTTTGCACAGAACTGCAGAAACATTGAACATTTAAACCTCAATGGGTGCACAAAAATCACTGACAGGTAAGTAGTAGAAATTACTTTGGTGACTGGTTGGCCGTGGGGAGAGTGAGGGGAGAGAAAGGTGGTTGAAAATACCTTTAGTGCATCTGATTTTTTTCAGCACGTGTTACAGCCTTAGCAGATTCTGTTCCAAGCTGAAACATCTGGATCTGACTTCCTGTGTGTCCATTACAAACAGCTCCTTAAAGGGGATCAGGTAAGAGTACCTGTTGTTAGTGGTCATGAGAAATACCCAAAGCTCTGAGCATTTTGGTGTGTCTGAAACCTTTCTCACGGTCCCATTGGAGCAGGAAGTGGGCGACTCGGGTTACAGAGGTCTCTCTCCCCTGAACTGCTTGTGGGCTACTAAGCTCAGAGTTGGTCCTAAAGTCTCCGTGGGATGGACTACACATGTGTGGTTTTGTTTCCTGTTCTCCAGTGAGGGCTGTCGGCACCTGGAGTACCTGAACCTGTCATGGTGTGATCAGATCACGAAGGATGGCATCGAGGCCCTGGTGCGGGGTTGTCGCAGCCTGAGAGCCCTGCTGCTGAGGGGCTGCACGCAGGTACCGGGAGTCCTCACGGCCTGGCTTGTCTAATCTAATGTTAGGTGTGCGCACGTGATTATGGAACCTGTGCCACACTGTCCCCTCACCTGGTTCCATCTCTTTTTTGTTTTCTCCATTCACTCAGCTAGAAGATGAAGCTCTGAAACACATTCAGAATTCCTGCCATGAGCTTGTGAGCCTCAACCTGCAGTCCTGCTCAGTAAGTAACATGCCTTTTACGTGAGCTCCCTCCTGTTCCTGTTCCCTCCGTCAGGAACCTGCTGGGGCCCTGCTGGGAAGCAGCCCAGGCAGGTGGGAGGATTGCCACACCCTTATTTCACATCCTGTGTCCTTGTGTGATCTCCCAGTTTCCCACAAGATGGAAGAACAGCAATCTAAACAAAAAGGCCAATACAAAGCCATGGGCATTTCCCCTAAAAACAGCATAGATCAGGGTCTTGGTTTATTTTAAGACATCAGGAATGCTGTGAACTACTCACTAACCTAAACAGTCCCTGGTAAGGTCTCAGTGTCTTGTCTTTACTTATAAACTGGGGGTGATGACACCTCTCATGGTGTCTCAGTGGATAAAACGAAATGACAGATATGAAAGTGCTTTGAAATATAAAGGGCATATTCAAGAGCAAGGTGTGATTTTCATCAGTGCATTATTAGCCTGTGAAGGATGATTTTTCTTCACTGCCATTGTAAATATTGGCCATTGAAGAGGGTGCTTGCTATGGCCAACTGGGTTTCTCAAGGAGAATGTCAATTTTGAGAAAAGTAAGAGAAATCCCTTGTATTTGGCATTTAGTAAATGAATCATAAACCTAAGGTCCCTAATGGTGGGAGGTAAAGCAGAAACTATCTTCTGGGCAAATATTGACCTTATGGGGCTGCACTGTTCAAAAATAGGACCTTGAATTGCATGTAGGGTAGCACTGGCAGGTGACTTGAAGTATGATATAAATGTATCTGTTTATTTCTGCATAAATTAGCATATTCAAATAAAGATTAATTTGAATCTTCATGGCTAAATTCATAGAATTCTAAGCCATTTATTAATAATTTAGTGATTTACTTAATTTTGCTATTTTCTAAAACATTTCAGGCAATATAAAAATACATGTATATGATTTATATAGTAGATATCGAAAGCATTAATATGTAGAAATTCAACCAAAAATTAATGTCACTTAAGCAAGTCTCAAGCTGTTTATTAAATCTGATTTTTAACACAAGTTTATGAATATTTCCTGAAAAAGAAATCGAACGATTCTGGGTAGAAAAATGGAATTAAAAAATTTTACTCTGCATTAGTAATGCTTGAATATTTTAAAGCTGTTCAGAAATAACACAAATATCTGTCTTCCCTGTACTTCACCTTATTTTCATTAAACTATCAGGATAAAATGCTAGTAACTGGCAACCTAAACTAGTCGACTAACAGGAGACTCCATTTGTCTGCGGCTCCCATTTCACTGTTGCCTGTGCCTTCTGATTTTCCTTTCTGCTTTGGTTCTCCCCAGCGCGTTACGGATGAAGGCGTGGTGCAGATTTGCAGGGGCTGCCACCGACTGCAGGCCCTCTGCCTGTCTGGCTGCGGCAACCTCACGGATGCCTCCCTCACAGCCCTAGCCTTGAACTGCCCAAGACTTCAGTGAGTGCACCACGCTTTCAGCTTTGCAACTCATAGCTTGGGGCTGACTGGGAGGGCTTCCTGCAGGAGGAGAAAGGCCTGGCAGTGGGTTGAATAGGTGGTGGCGGAGGCAGTGGTTGTGTTCTTGGCTTTTGTCAGATGTACTGGGGTGGGACACTGTAATCTAGTTCATTTAAGGATGTGTGGAGAGTCTCACACTGTCCACCACCAGGGAATCTGAGCCTTAGTTTCCTGATGGACTTCACTCATGTGCCCACCTGATTTGCCTCGCCCTGGTATTACTTTTTTTTTAAACATCTTTATTGGAGTATAATTGCTTTACAATGGTGTGTTTGTTTATGCTTTATAACAAAGTGAATCAGCTATGCATATACATATGTCCCCATATCTCCTCCCTCTTGCGCCTCCCTCCCACCCTCCCTATCCCACCTCTAGGTGGTCACAAAGCACTGAGCTGATCTCCCTGTGTTATGCAGCTGCTTCCCACTAGCTATCTCTATTACATTTGGTAGTGTATATATGTCCATGCCACTCTCTCACTTCGTCCCAGGTTACCCTTCCCCCTCCCCGTGTCCTCAAGTCTACTGCGTCTTTATTCCTGTCCTGCCCCTAGGTTCTTCAGAACCATTTTTTTTTCTAGATTCCATATATATGTGTTAGCATATGATATTTGTTTTTCTCTTTCTGACTTACTTCACTCTGTATGACAGTCTCTAAGTCCATCCACCTCACTACAAATAACTCAGTTTTGTTTCTTTTTATGGCTGAGTAATATTCCATTGTATATATGTGCCACATCTTCTTTATCCATTCATCTGTTGGTGGACACTTAGGTTGCTTCCATGTCTTGGCTATTGTAAATAGAGCTGCAATGAACATGGTGGTACATGACTCTTTTTGAATTATGGTTTTCTCAGGGTATATGCCCAGTAGTGGGATTGCTGGGTTGTATGATAGTTCTGTTTTTAGTTGTTTTTTT